ATGTGTATATTGTTCAAAATTAATTAAGTGACTTTTCTATAATTTCCTACAAGTTTGCCTATGGAACATTTTTTTCCCCCAGTAATTCATTATTGTGCTCAGGTCAAACAAGTACAGGACATTTTCAATTTGGGGGCAAGTGTAATGAAAGCGAGTTGTAAATATTTATAACTGATTTGTAAGAGTAGGAATAAGAAAAATAGCAAATATAAAATTATTTATTATGTGGTATACTCACAAAAAAGACAATCTATGATGGCAGCCAATAACTAAGGTTCTGAAGTCATATCAGCTCACTCACTCATTCAAGAAATATTTATTGAGCATCTCCTGAGCATCAGGCTCTGTTCTAGGTATTGGGATACATGAGGGAACAAGACAAATGACGACTCCTGCTTTCATGTTTACATTAGAGTCATTAAGATAAAAATAAATTAACTAACAGGACAACTTGAAAATGTGATAACCAAATACAGTATTGTAAGAGATTACTGGGGAGGAGAGGTGGGGTTCCTTTAGACCTGGTGGCCAGGCAAGGCTTCTCAGAAAAGGTGACATGTGAGATGAAACCTAAATGACGAGAATGAGCCAGCTAGGGGCAGATCTACAGCAGAGGAAGGTCCTAATGTGGAAACTAGCTCGGTCTGTTCAGGGAATGGAAAGAAGACCACTTGAGCTAGACTGTGCCACACGATGTTGCAGCAGAGGACTGGCTGGGACACTAGGATGGGGCGTTTAGGCCTTTGGGAAACACTGGCTGTCCAGTCTAAGTGATTAGATTGTTTTAAGCATGAGAGTGGAATATCTGCTTTAACTTTAGAAGATTATTGTAGCCAATATACTGCTTGCAACTTGTTAACTGTGTGTGCTTGGACAAGCAGCTTTTTCATTGTCAGTTTTGATTTCTTCATTTGTGAAGTTGAAGTAATAACAGTATCTATTACATGAAGTTCATATAAGGATTAAGTGAAGCAATGCATGGAAAGTATTTAGCACACTGCCTGATGCATAATAATTGTTCAATAAACGTTTTCAACTAAATCTCTGTTACACTATTAGCATAATATAGAACTGAGTTTAATTCACTATCCCCAATTATGCAAAATAATAACTAAAAATACTTTTTTATTAGTCTTGATTCCAAATTCTCTACTATTGAAAGGCCGGGTATTTTCATACTGAATCAACACTTGGCATTTTTCTCTTACCTAACCCTATAATACATCCCTGGGCTATTTATGTGTATATGTATCCCTCTACTCACACTCACACTAGATTACTTATCTTTGTGGTACCCCAGGTTCCACAGTACTCAATGCATTGAATATAAGATAAGCAAGTCTTTAGGTAGGTGGGTGGGTAGGTGGATGAATGGCCTAACAGATATATGGAGGGTAAAAATCATGAGAGCAAGAGAAAAGAAGGGAGTGTTTCAAATTAAAGTATTGAAAAGAATAAGGTTTTTAACTTATGAGTATATAAAATGCATAACATCATTTCTTGGCATGTTTATTACTTTATTCATACATTTACATAGTACCGGATACCATGCTGAAAGCGTAACAGAAGACACAGCCCTGTGGTATGTATTTACTACCTTCTAATCTTGCTTCATCTCTACTGAGAATCTTTAGCAACACTCTGAGAAACATGAAGAGCTACCTATTTACCAAGATTGTGAAGAATTATGAGTGCTAGAAACAAAATTGTGAAACCTGCAGTGCTTAACCTTTGGTTTTCTTTGCTTAACCTTTGCTTTCCTCACACACTCTGATCTATTTGTGAGGGTAATACATGACATCAAGATATTAATAGTTTGTATGTAGAATTCCAATTTCTAGGCTTTGAAATAAAGATTCACAATAGTTGTGGAAACATCTGTTTACTGATCTGCATATAACATGCAAATTGTTTCTTCACACTTAGAAGTGTGTAATGGAAGAAAAGTGACCCTATATCCAAATATAGAGGACCACAGAATCTTGAGAAGTTACTGATTTAATTAAATAAAATTAGTAAAACAGCAATATAGAAGAAGAAAATAATGTCCTTTATTGGAGGTTGTTCTATGCTATAGAAAGTAACTTTATATGCATTATCTTATTTTGATCTTCACAATAACTCTAAGAAAACATGGCAGATTTTATGTCCTGCACTTCATGGACATAAAAACTGATACACTGATATACAATTTGCCCCAAGTTTACAAATCAGTCAGTGGCAAACTGGAACACTAGCCTAGGTATTCTCAGTGTTATTTTCTGCCACCCCAAACTAGTTAAAAATGCCACAAATAGCGAAATTTATTAAAACTTCAAGTTTTTATATTTAGGAAGAGACGGAGGAACCAACTATGTATAAAACAATTTGCAAATAGTGTTATTAAAATTCCTCTTGGAATATTATAAATCCTTTTAAGCAGGGCAATATTTTCTTTATGTAAGCATGATTCTTGTCTGATCATTAAAATACTGTATACTGCCTAGCTCCAGATGATAATAATAGTGATAAAACCCTTATCTCTTGAAAACTTATATACGAGACTCTGTTCTAAATACTTCACATTCATCAACCTTCATACATGTAACAATTTTATGGGGTAGGTATTACTAGTATCATCTTCATCATTGCCGTCATTACATAGATGGAAAAACAAGAGGCATACAGAGGTTAAGCAACTTGTCCTTAACCATTTGGCTAGTAAATTGGAAAGCCAGGATTTACACGCAGGTAGATTCGGTCTAGTGACTCTTAGCTGCAACATTATGCTGCCTCTTGAAAGAAAGGCCTCTTCTGTAACCTATTTCAGTGTCTCCCCTATTAGATTCAACCATTGATGAAAGAAGAATCACTAACGCAGGTTAAAGATTTAAACCCCTTCCATGCATGTCTAAGCAACACCAATCTGGTCACCCAGTGACCTACACTTCATTTTCAAAGTGCTGAGGAACTGTATGCAAAGTGTCTAGCAAAGAACCTGGCACAATGTTTGCAGCTATCAATGACTGAGAGTTTCTACAAGTCTGGCATGGTGCTAAGTGTTTTTCTATATATAGGAATGCCATAAATGTTAAAATGGTTCTTTTTTTTTTTTTTTCTTTGGATAGGCTGGATCCAAAGCTGTTTCTTTGGAAATTAAGCTAGGCAATGGAGAAAATCTATTTTCCTAAAGGCAAGAACTGTTAAATCACTGGGTGTAGAAAGCTGCCATACATGGGTTGTGGACTACCATGGCTCAGGCTCCTGATGAGATTCACATCCATGCAAGAAAGTAAGGAGGGCCATTATCCTCAGCAAACCAACACATGAACAGAAAACCAAACACAGCATGTTCTTGTAAGTGGGAGCTGAACAATGAGAACATATGAACACAGGGAGGGGAGCAATGCACACTGGGGCCTGTGGGGGCTGCAGGGGAGAAAGAGCATCAGGATAAATAGCTAATGCATGGGATGGGTTGATAGATGCAGCAAACTAGCATGGCACACATTTACCTATGTAACAAACCTCCATGCCCTGCACATTTTTCCCAGAACTTAAAATTAAAATAAAATTAAATTTAAAAAAAAAAGAAAGAAAGGAGAAGTATCAATGGGAAGACAAGATCCTAGGCTGCACTCAGCATCTGCAGAGAGATTTCCTCTCTAGGAAAAGGAAAACTAAAAGCGCAAAGATTAAAATCTTATATGGATAATTTTCTAAATCAATTAAGTGAATTATAAACAAGCTCTCTCCCCCAGTTTCTTTAGATATCATAATATCTTTCTTGACCTTTTCAAGGGAAAATTTAATTTACAAAAAAACTGTTTTTACAGTTAACTTTTCAGAAATTCACATATCATGCAAAACAAAGTATACCAGCTTCCCTTGCTAAAACTACAGTTCGGAGAAATTTTATTTCAAAATAACAGGAAACCACTCATTCATTCATTCAACAAGAATTTATTGGCCAAAAACTAGCTTACATACTCTGTGTTAAATAAAGTAGACATAAAAATGAAGAATGAAAGCTCCCTCCCACTATGGATCCCATTCTTTAAAATATGTCAGTGAGGTGGGGTATGGTGGCTCACACCTATAATCCCAGCACTTTGGGAGATCAAGGCAGGCAGATCTCTTGAGGTCGGGAGTTCAAGATCAGCTTGGCCAATATGGTAAAACCCCTATCTCAACTAAAAAAATATAAAAATTGGCCAGGTGTGGTGGCATGTGTCTATAATCCCGGCTACTCGGGAGGCTGAAGGATGAGAATTGCTTGAACCTGGGAGGTGGGGGCTGCAGTGAGCCAAGATAGCATCACTGCACTCCAGCCTGGGCAACAGAATGAGACTCTGTCTCAAACAATAAAAAGAACATAAAATATGTCAATGACTATTTCTAACTTGTCATTGACACTGTTTGAATGACATAGAAATGGTCTTATGAAACACTGTGACATTGGTTTGGAAAAAGACACCTTTTAAAAAGCACTAAGGAGATCAGACAGATAGATAGATAATAGAGTTATATTGATATACATATTGATATATACTAAGTTCCTTTATAAAGGTGAATACATTCAGCATCAGTGGACCTCAGAAAAAGACCAGAAATCCAGGATGTCTGCTGAATCTAGGAAATTATCCAAAAGGATCCATATCTTTCTCCCCCTCAATGTTCTTCAAATTCCTGGTTGATTAATATATTATGTCTAAACAAGAAAAATGCAGAACTACTTACAGTAACAGAGAGGCCGGGGAAGGTAGGAAGTAGTGAATATACAACTAAGACAGGGATCTAGATTTCACTGCACATTCCACAGCCACTATAAATGATATTGATTTTCAGATTAACTGCTCTTTTATAGTACTCATACCTCCTTTCCCTTCTATTAGAGAACTGAATTGTCTGTGCATCTGCTCGATTCCACTGAGAGGCCTGAATCACCACTTGGAAATATCAATCACGCCTTTAAAATTCATCTCTACTAAAAGCCTGCAGTGAAACGATAATGCACTAACCTGTCTCCAGTTAATGGCAAAATAATAGTTGCTTGAGAAGAAAACACAATGAAAGATAATCTCATTTCAGGGCTGCAAAATAAGAAAAGAGGCAGTTAAAACATTTTTAAAAAGAAATACTGATACAATACAGATGTATAGTTACGGAGTTTCATTTAAAATTGGTCTCCCTGGATGGTCCAGTCTTCTTTTAAATGGCATTTCCTAAGTAAATAGACGAACTCTGCTTAACATTGTTGCATAAGTCATGTTGGATTTAGTCAATGCTTCCCAGCACTCACATACTCCTCCATGACCCATAAGGACTTGCATTTAGAAAGAGACTAACTGGAAAGATAAATTCTATGCTGATGTAAAATTCTTTCATAGAAAATTCCTCTTCCCTTGGTGTTCTACAACATTTCCTTTAAAGGAGGCCAGGCCCTTCAAAGTGATTATGGTTATCAATACTTAGGGCTCGAGAGTACCCAGTTTGACTTAATGACCATAACTGTGATATGAGTCTATACAAAAGTCATCCTGAAGTAAGACTACTTAAAGAGTCATGGAGAATGTGAAAGAAACTGATAAATCACTTTCTGCTTAGGCATTTTTTATTTTCTAAGTCTCAAGCATCCTATTTTCCATTGGCAACAAGTGCCCCAGTCAGCTATTTCTTTCAAGTTTTAGGCATTTCTCTCACAGAATGGCTCTTGCTTCTCAGACACTCTCTGCAACTATTACTAAGGTCCAAAACTGAAGATATGAAACTAGAATCTATAAACTGAAAACCAGAATGCTCTCAAAGGCTTCTACATGTTATAAAAGTCAGTCTCTTCATTAGTCACCCCTTATTCACTTCCTACAATATATTGTTAGTAACTGAGCAACTAGGCTTGAGCCAGACAACTGTGTATTATAGAATTCCAACTTAAAAACCAGATCAATGAGTAAGATAAGAGCTTGCTTCTTTAAAATGTTGTAGTGATGTGATTCATTGCTTTTGATCAGAATCTACATGACACCCTTTGCACATTGAAGGATTAAATTAGAAAATTTATAAACAACTGTTTGTTCTGCCTTTGACATTTAAGGATATAGGATCTTGTTTGTTTTTCTTTCCTAGACAGTTTTACCTCAGACCCTGTCCAGAAATGAGTGTTAAACTTGGCTTCTTAAGCAAGGGACTGATGATTGAACATGGACAGGCATACATTTTTATAGGGATAACTTTACTGCTGCCAATAACTGAAAGCAAGGATTGCCTAGGCCTCTACAGATTGTTTGAAGTTACTTGCAACATGACTTTCAAAATGTTTTGATCATCCAAGCCTGTTTTACAGAAAACATTTGGGCTAACAAGACTGAAAGAAGCAATATTTAATGATACAGTTCCTATTCATGTCCTTTCCATTATCTTGATAAACTTGTGTTTGCTCATTGCATTTTTTCTTTAAAAAAAAAAAAAAAAGAAGGAAAACAACGCCTCAAAAGCCTAGTGTCCTGAGGTTATTTTTAAATCGGAGATGCCACTAATTCCTAGTTACCTCTAAATAAGAGAGTAAGCTGGATTTCATACCAGTAATGCTTTTTATAGGAGAGGAAACCAGTCTTTCCTGGTGATGCTTATTGCATATATAGAACAGTTAAATTTTAAACCAACCACACACCCACACATTGTGTAAACACAAGTCGTTGCTTTAAACACACACACAAGTGCCTTTTCTGGTAGTGGGTTATTAACACATGTTCATTTGAAGTTTTCCAACACTTTTTGTTTGTTTTAATGAGGACCTCTATAATGCGAAGAAATGTGTGGAAAGGAAAATATATTATGGATACTATTCGCATAAAATTTATTTTTTAATGTGATAAATTATGAGAAAGCATAACTGAAATTCAAAACAGATGAAAATTCGGAAAGAAAAAGACATTTGGAAGAGTATTTGAAGATGCTTCCTCGGAGTCTGAGGCAAGTTTCTGGGATCCAGATGAAATAATCCCTCAAGGATTGAAGGGCTGTCCTAATAACACCATGTGTGCAATAACGACCTTGAGGCACTTAAAAGTAACATTTCAGGAAAAGTTTTTCCCATGAAAGGTTTCAGAAAAGGGAAATTCTACACTTTGCTCTACTTCTCCACTGCCTAGAAAAGTAAAATAAGAAAGATACCTCACAAATCTCTCCGCAAGTTGCTGGACGAAATTGTAAATTTCAATCCAGTTATTTGCCACACTCCCAGACCTGAAAGATGAAATTGAACTGATCAGAGAAACAAAACACGGAACTGAAAAGTAAACATGTTGAAATGGTTCCTTCTTCAATGTCACGAACATGGGGGCACCTGGCCTCTTTGTCAAGCTAAGTAAGGGTATCTGTAGCTGAAACTTCGGTGCTACCCAGAGTTAAAGAAGTCAGCCCCAGAGCGAGACTCCAACTAAAAAAAAAAAAAAAAAAAAAAGAAGAAGAAGTAGTAGTCCGCTCATTTTCTGGGGGCAATACCTGCCTGCTAATTGTTTATAGTGGAACCCAGCTCTTCAGAGTAAACACAGAAACCTTACTTCGCAGGAAATGCAAACCACATTGGGCATGTTAACCCTAGGCTTTTCCTGGCTCCAATGAAAGCGCTATGATTAGGATAAAACCAGGCAAACTTTAGCCTGCATACGAGCGGGGGTCGAGGAGGTGGGTAAGGACTAAGTGGCCGATGGAGCTGGCCCGCAACAGGCCACATTCCCATTTCCCAAGAGGCCCAAAGACTGGCAAACAGTGAATACCCTAACTCCCCAAAGAGCCAAGTAGCCCACGGCTCCAATCACTACCTCCCACCCCGCTGATCTCCGCCTACACAGATCCGAACCGCTTGCCCTTTGGAAGAAGACAGCAACAGGGCACCCCTCCGCGGGTTTCCAACACCACTCCCCGGGGCGCGCACACGCATCTCAGCCTCAGCCCCAGCTGATCCAGTGCAGCCGTCACCAGGAGACCCTGGACGTCCCTCGCACACTCACTTGTCCAGGACGAAGTAGAGATCAAAGGCTCTTCTGCAGGAGGGCTGCTCCTGGGCGCGCAGCAGCCCCCCGGGACCGCTGAGCGCCAACAGCCACAGCCCGGGGAACAGCCAGCTCCCGAGGCTGCGGGCCCGGGACCGCTCCGCCACCATCCTGCGGCCGGGGGCCTGAGAATCCCTCCCGCTCGCAGTCTCTTCAGCTCGGGAGGGTCGCAAAGGTGCCGGGAGTCACCCGGGACGCACTCTGGGGTGGGGGGCGGCGAGCAGCTGAGGCGCCGGCGCCTGCGGCAACGGGACCCACCAGCTGACAGAGGGAGGGAGAGAGGGAGGTCCTGAGAGGACAAAGGCAGTCTCCGCCACCGCCGCAGCTGCCGCCGGAACTCTTGACGAATCCCAGTGGAAGCGCAATCCAGTCCTCCCCTTCCCGATTCCGGAGAGTTCCTGCAGACAATGCGGGCCCACGGCGACAGCTCGCGAGATAAGTTCCTCTCCGGCCTCAGGCCGAGCCTCCAGCGCCCGCCTCGGACCCGGACCTGGAGCCCACCCCGCCCGGAGGGCTGAAGTCCCCCCGCTGCCGTGCGCTTCGGGACAAGGGGTCCCTGGGACGCGGCAACGGCAGAACAAACTAGGAGTGGAGATCCTTCTCCTCCCGCTCCCTTCCTCCGGCAACCCCAACTCCCTCCGCACTCCGAAACTTTCCTCCCGGTGCTGGACTCTGGCACTGCGCTGACGGGCCGTCCCCTTTAGGGGAGGAGGCTAGCTGGCCCAGGGACTCCCGGCTGGAGAGAACCCACGCCGAGGCCAGGGGCGCGCTCGGGCCAGGTCTAGGCTGCGAGTGTCAGTGTGCGCCCGGGGACGAGGGCGGGGCCCCAGCTGAAGCCTCCGAGCTACACACGCACACTTGTGGGTTTCTGCCGAGTTGAAGATGACTAACGCTTGCCAGATTTGGGAAAAGGAAGAAAGAGTTTAGAAAAACAAAAGTTCTGTAGAAACTAGACATACCCGTATATCCTGCAGGCCTGGCCTATTTTAGCAGCTGTGCTAAAACAGCCCCTTTGCGTGGTTTACAAATCCAAGACTAAGGATTCCATGGGAGGTGACGGCCTCCTCACTCCTCACTCCACCCCACCCCCTACTACCACAAACACTCTTTATGAACTTCCTCTTTTTTTTTCTAAAGAAACCTGCTTAGTTTTGGGGTTTTTTTTTTTTTTTTTTTTCCTAAAAAAAAAGCCAAGCCAAGGAAAGGCCAGAGTGGGGAGTGGGAGGGTATAGCAAGCCTCTTTGGGAGTGGAAAGTTGTACCTCAAAATATTTCAGCCCACTATCATTCCCTGCAAGCTCCAGTTTTGGAGAATTTCAGCTTTGGGCAAGCTAGGTCTCCTTTGCAAAACTTGTGCAAGCACTCAAGTTGGTGCACAAATCCTCTGTCTACTAGTTCTGCTCTCCCTCCCTCCTCTGTCTTCCCCTCACCTCCGTGACTTCCGCCCTCCCTTAGTCAAAACTGGCTTTTAGAACCTACTACCTTTTCATTTTTAACAAAATTAATGCTTTATGTAGTACTTACATATACATCTCTTCTGTTTGTTGCCGTATGTATTTAACTTTTCATTTATTATATTTGATATACAACCAGATATGTCAGCTCTTTGAAGATAAAAATCAATAACTTTAACAAAGATTCACTGAGTGCCTATTATTTGCTAGGCACTATTCCAGAAATGGAGGTTAGTGCACAGAACAAGATAACAAGCCCTTGCCTTCATGAAGCTGACAGTCTGGCTGAAGAGTGAAAGCAGACAATAAGAAATAAATACATAAGCAAGGAAAACATGTCCATATTAGAAAGGTGGCTTGCAGAAACTTAAAATATTGTGATGATAAAGAATGACTGACTCGGTCACTAACAAAAAAGACCCAGTCATTCCAAGAGCTCTAAGAGGAAACACTTGAAGTTACTGCAAAGGTCCATAGACATTAGCTTAGCATATTCAAAAAAGAAAGAAAAAACTGTGTGGCTGGAGCTTTACAGGTAAGATGATGTAAGAGAAATAGGCAAGGGCCAGATTATGTGATGCTTTGTTTACTGAGATAAGGAATTCAGATATTTTATATTGAGTGTGATAGGAGACAAACAATCCTGAGGTTCATAAATTTGGAAAGGAGAACTTCATTTCTTATAAAGGGTTACAGCTGCAGGCTGGACTTCTTGACAGGCTGGGAAGTGTAGCCTCTGGCAGAGATAAAAAGCAGGCACTCTGAGGGAAGTAAGGGTGGAACAGGAATTTATGCTGAATAAGTTGGCCAAATATACATATTCAACAGGTTATAGGAGGAACTACGAATATTCCTGAAGCAAGGGGTACATGAGCTATGCATATTTCTGAAGCAGGTGGGTTAAGTTTTCACATCAAAGTGAACATGGGACATATACAACATGCATGTTTAGTAAGCAAACATGCTTTTAAATATATAAACATGCATGTTGCCTATGTCTCATGTTCACTTTGAGGTGGAGACTTAACAATTAAATGTATTATATTTAGGCCCTGTATGTCAAAAGGTGAAACAGAAGACATGAAGGCGCTCAGTGCCACCGCCTCTGTAAACCGGCCAGAACCAGTCTGTGGTCAGTGGTCTCTTATCAGGAGAAAGTTATTAAAATCAGTCTCTTGTCCAGTCAAAGCTGTAATTATGGCTCATAGAACAGGGGTAGGTGTGGAGGATTATTTAATTAGTGTCTTGCAGCCAGTAAGATGCAATTGTTTCAATATTGGTTATCTTGAGGCCAGTGTTTGTTTAGATGCTAGAGAAAAAGAAAACCCTTGTGGCAGTTAGAATAGAGTTTATTTTTTTAAGTGTAGTGGTAGTTTGCCTGGCATGGTCTTAGGTCTTCTTTATAATTTGATGTCTTATGGACACAGAGTACATTCTGTCAGTCTTATCATCTCTATTTTAACAAAGGCAAAATGAAATGGTACCTTGGACCATCATCACTATAACAGCTAACCTGAGAGTTACGAATTGATGAAAACTTCAATATATACAGGCAGACCTCCATTTTGAAAATATGCTCACTACAAATGTCAAAGATTGAATGGAGGGTGGCTAACGTTTCTTCTCACTCTTTGCCGACTGGTCACTTGGGGATGGAAATTCCACCACTATCAACTGCAACAATCTGCCACTTTTTACCTGATGGAGTGAGGAAGATACTGAGGGGCAAGGGGTTAACTAGATGGAAGATAACTTTCACTTTTGTAAGAAGGAAACATACGTTCCTTCTTTTCACTTTTGTAAGAAGGAAACATACGTTCCTTCTTTTCACTTTTGTAAGAAGGAAACTTCCGTTCATATGTTTGAAATATAATTTTCAAACAATTAAGCCCTAGAAGAAAGTCCTTAATTAGTCCTAAGACTAATTAAGAAAGTCCTAAGAAAGTCCTTAAAGCACCTTAATTCTGTCCTCCTTGGTTTCATCTTTTCTTGAGGTTTTGACATTCTGATTACTTCTGTAGCCTTCCAGTCTCCAAGTATGTGTTGCCACCTCTCATTTCACATTTGGGTCCAACCCGAATGCATAAATCTCCTTGACTTCCCATAACAGAACTGAAACAGGCTGACATTTTCAGGAAATTTCTATCAACAGCTTATTCAAGTTTGAAAGATTTTTACTCACTGCTGGTTGAAATTGGTTTCCATTTTCAACTTTAATCTTAAGATAGAATCAAAGACATTATATGCCACATCAGCATGTTATTGAATAAAATCTGGGGAAAAAAAGGTATGCTAAAAAAAAGTGACAATTAGTTGCATGTTAGAAGGAGACAGAAGGCCAAGAAATATGAGACATGATCCTAACTATTTACTCTAACCTCCTGAGGAAGTATTTTGAAACTCACATTTGTTGGTTTCCTTTATCCCTAGCTTCTTGACTAATTTCTTGCTCATCTTCTGGGACTTCCCAAGCTGTTCTAAGAATCTACCTTGTCCTAGGCTCAAACTAAAGCAAAACACCTCGAATTTAAAACTCATTCTTCCTCAAGATTCTCAGGCCTTCTGAGAGTACCCCCACTCAGTTCTTCTTTCTTGAGTACAAGGCTAGCAGAGATTATTGACATACCAAAAAATAGTACCACTCTTTTGTTTATCTGTTTGCTTGGGTAAAGAATTCATCCCAGTCCTGAAGCATTTTTCATCTCACTGACTTGCTCGCGTAAGATCTACAGCAAAGCAAAAAATGGCCTCATCTGGCCCAGACCAATAACTAATCAAATCACTTTCATTTAATAAAAATTAATCAGAAGATCATTAATTACTGGGGCGACCAACTGTCCTAATTTGTCACAGACTGAGGGGTGTCTTCCGTCCCATGGACATGGGATTTTCCACACTACAACTAGGGCAGTCCCTGGGATAGTTCCTGGCAAGCAAAACTGTTGGTCATTCTTTTCCTAAGCAATAATGAGGGAAGGTGAAAGCAAAAGCAGACATGAAAATCTCTCCAAGCCGTGAAAAAGAACTGGTAGCAACAGCAGTACTTTCCCTTCTCCTCCATCAGTGAGAGTACTCCAGGAATTGTATCAGCTGGAGAATAGCCAGGTAAGGTTTCAAACTGACTTTTGTACCATGACAGCATGCTGGGACCCTGTTTAACTTTCAATTTGATGTCAAGAATGGGAGGGATAATGCAAATTTTTTAAGAGAGAGAGAAAGAGAGACTCTATATTGCATTATGTAGGTAAATAAATCTAAAATGTTTCTCTTTTGTCGAATTATTTGTATGTCCACTGAATTATTTGGCTTTACAATCCATGAATGCCCCCACTCTTTGAAAATTATTATTTGTATTAAATCAAACTGCTAACTCAATGTTAGAATGTATCACCTTATTAATAAAAATGCTAATGAACCTCAAAACATTTTAAATACAGTTTAATGCAGTTAGAATCGCTTGAGATTGACACCTGATGATTTAAAGTCTTCACTAGACCCCCTATCATTGTCCTTTTTTTCCCTACCTGCAGAGCTCCGATGGACTACATGTTAAATTACATTTAATTACTTATTTACTGGTCTTTTATTATATTTAACGAATGTTTACTGATACCTACTGTGTATCTGGTAATGTTTTAAACACAAACTGTTTCTTAAGCAGTTTGTATTTTCAATCTCCTATCGCTAATTTATTTCTGTCACCCCATACCCCAACAAATAAACAAACAAAAAGGCAAATAAGCAACAACAATAAAAGTATTCTTTATGTGTAAAAAATTATATAATCTATATTATTTACAAGTAGACATCTTTTATGGCATGCACGACTGTAGACGTGACTCTCCTGGAAGTTGAGTACCACACTGAAAATGATTCATATTCTTGTCACATGGGAAGTGATTCATTATATGATGTCTACAGTGATTCAGAGGAAGAAAATAAATTTTCACTACCTGTAAGTGATAAAGCTTATTTCAACTTTTATCAGGTATAGTCATTAAAGAACTAGATTTCCTCAATGTCTGAACTAGCTCCTGAGAGTGAATAAAATGCTTTTGGAAGGTGCGATTGCGTCTAAATTAATATCTGCATGTATGACAATAGGGGGTGCTAACTAATGTTAGAGAATGATTACTAACATCGGCATTTGGGACCAAATGTGTCTCAAATTGAGTTTCTCAGAAACAGACTTGAGATTCGGAGATTTGCATGCAGGAGGTATATTGAGGCATGTAGCAAAGCCTCAACGAAGGGATGAGGGAAGCAGGAATTGTCAGAAGGAAACTTGAACCATGATGGAATTCCAAAGGAGGCTTCAGCCAACCACCAAAGGTAACTCTGGAGCTGTGATAGCCTTTCATAGTTGCCCTGAATTGAGTGAGACAAGCGAGCCAGGGTTTTGTTTCCCCTCATGGATCACTCACTAAATGTGGGCTTCCCCTCCACAAGGGGAAGGCATAACCTTAAACAATGGCAGCTTCTTTTAGCTTGGGGCAGTTATGAGGAGAGTTGTGAGCAGTCAACAGAAAAATCCTGGCTATGGGGAAATTAGTGTTTCAGCCCTGAAGGAGGAATCTAGGTGAGGCAACTACAGCACTTA